TACTAGGGGCTCCTGGCCTTACTACTAGGAACAATGTTCGCTACTAGAAACAACATCACCAACTCTTGGGCGGTCACATTCTCCTGAGGTTTTTGTCTCGTCAGGAGAGTGCTGCGTTCCTCATGGCACCCGACGATCTCTCGTTGGTGGCCGTGTCAGCAGAGCTGTGCAGGCACTTCTGAGGGTTTGGAGCTGACTTTGATCCGGTAGAAGGACATATGAAAACACAGTAGGGGGTCGTGTCAGGACCCTATGCCTATGCTTGCCCATAAATGTATGTACTCATCAATGCTCCCATGTGTATGTTGACCATCCCGCAGGGACTTATCCTTCCGTGGTTTCTCCTATGCCCAGGCAGATGCGTCGGAGCGACTCGGAAATGCTAGGGAAGCACATCCAGTCCTTCCAGGAAGGTGTGCCTGGCCATTCTGTTTGGGGGGCCCAGTCATCCGGCCGAGTGAGGAATTGCTCTTCGATCGAAAGTCGGGCACAGCGGAAGATCTGTTTCTTTCTTTTTCCTTTTTTTTGCATGGTAAGCTTTCTCTCTTTCAAAGCTTCATGTCTCACTCCGACGCTTACCAAGGTCTCCAGATCCTCGAACTCCAAGATCAGAGCGTGTAGGGCTCGGTCAGGGTCACCACAAGAGGCCTCCGCCCTTTCCAGAGGACTGTTATTTGTATCTTAGATCTTATGTAGGGGCAAGTCTTCTCACTGCGAAATGGTAGTTGGTGGGAGGCTGCTCCAAGAAGTGCTTTACAGGCGGACCCCATATTGACATATTGATACCAGGCAAAGATTCTAGAAGGTGAAGTTGTTCGCTTCCACGTAAAAGCCAGCTGCCATGGTCATGGTACACTTTTGCTGCCATTGCAAGACCACCCATGCAAGGTGTTCTCCAAGAAGAAAACATGATGGGAGGATTACTGTACATGTGTGTCCCATATGTATGATTTGTCATGATGTCAGCACGGGCTCATGAACACATGTTGCAAGTGTCGTCATACACTCATCAAGCAATAGCCGACCTTATTTGAGAAACAGGTGTCCCCTAAAGAGATTGCTCTGACCTAAAATCATCGGCCTCAGACCGGTTGTCCCCTTTAAATCAGACCCAATAGTTTGCGTCATGTCGTGTAGAGCAAAGCCAGAAGTGTTGAGTTGGAGGTGCAAAGTGGACACGGTGGGGAGGTGCAGTTTCCGCACTCGTGTCACAACGCTCGAATTTGAAGGGCCACGTTCCGCGATGGGAAAACGGTCGTGTACCGCCGTTGGTCTGCCTGGGTCTCTTGCGTTCCACTTGTCGCATTGATTCCTTCATGCAACAGGCCCCTGCAGCCTCCAAAGTGGGCGTGTGTTCAGACCCTGTTCCAGCCATTTGTAGGTGTGGCTAATATATGCTAATATGATTTCTTTGTTTATTAACTGATTTTTGCTTGATCCTTCTTCTCACGCCAAAGCCAAAGCAGCCAAACCCAAACCAATTGTCCTTCCAAGGGCAAGTGTCTCCATGCCCTTCCAGTTTATTCAAACCAAAGCTAAGTCCTTTTTCTATCTTCGACAGCATGCGTTCAGGCACCAAGGTCTTTCCCTTTGTGGATGAAGAAAAATCATGAAAAATCCAAACCTTCCCCAAAAGCTGGATCGAGGTGACATGCAAGAAGGCCAACTTAAATGAGTTAGTTTTGTGTATTTTTTCAACAACGAATTCTCTTCAACGAGTTTTTCTCGTTACGAGTTTCTGAGGTTCCGTGAGGCCACCGAACTCAATCCACACCGCAACGGCGAGATCGCTGCAGTGCAGCCTTTCGGACCAGAGTCGGGACCGGAAGAGGAGACCGGAGGAGACTGGGAGGGGAGACGGTTTGAGTTGAGGAGGGAAAAAATGAGTTGAGGCGCTTGGGAACGGCAATGAGAAGAATCAGATCGAGTTCCATCCCCAGATTTAAATGGCCTGCTTCGCAAGTCACGCCAGGTGTTGTTTTTTGAAGTAAGATGACTTGGTGAGCAACTGTCATCACGGCAGGCTACACCATGGTTGATCCTTGTGGAATTTACTTGATGGTGGCAGGGGATTGGGGCTTGGGGCATGCGAAAGATGTTGACAGAAGGCCTGACCAGGCCTGAAAGAATAGGCTGTGGTTTGAGATCCCTGTCAATCTTTTTGGAACCAGTCTTTCTTAAGGACGCTACTAGGGGCTCCTGGCCTTACTACTAGGAGCAAGGACGCTACTAGGGGCTCCTGGCATCGCTACTAGGAGCAATGTTTGCTATTAGAAACAAGAAACTCTTGAAGTTGTTGAGGGTCGATCTCGCCCGCTTGCATCAGCGTGCGCGGACATTCATCATTGACGCATCACTGTGGTATACTTCAGAGTATACAGTACATATAACTATTATATATAAATACATATAATATGTACGTGTATATATATATACATATTTGCTCAAACCTTAACATCTCCTCCGCCAACTTGACCCCAGAGGCTGATGGAAAGCAGATAACATAGGAATGGAACGCAGGCATGGAGCCCATGATACCAAACAGATGTAGAATTGCAAGTGACTCAAGATTCAAGACCCTCAAACGATCCAGACAGCTTGGATCTATATAGATGACTAAAGTCATAAGTTTCAATCTCATGCTGATTTATTCGGTTTTCCCATCCGTTTCTTTTCTCGTGCGTTCCATTCAAGAGTCTTTCCCGCCCGTGACTAATTCTGCCCTCCTGAATTGACTTTACATCCCTCTCCTATGTTTTTGCCCATACCTGCATTAGTTACCCACGTTATTGATTGGCCACTCTCCATTTGACTAAGAACATGGTGATGCAAAGCATTTGTGTAAGCAGGGGGTGATACGAAGACAAGGTAAATAGCAGGAAAACAAGCCAAGGATCAAGAACAGAAAATTAACTGTGAGCAAGAGGCAAGCCTTTTGAGACCAGAAAGAGCTCGTTGGGAAAAGGAAGTAAGTCAATCGTACCAGTAGAGGAGGAGCTGAATAAGAAGAGGAAACATTGGAGCACATGAAGAATCGTTTAAAGACGATTTGGTTGTCGTACAGGCACTTTATGATACATTGTGAATTCATTGTTGTTGTTAGGCTATCTTTTTAGTGACACATGTTTTCTCTCCAGATAGGCAAGCTGTTGGGGAGGTGCCTGGGTGCTGGTGCCGCTGCAGGGTGAAATTATGGTGCTCACTAGTATCTTTTGGCGTTTTGTTTGGGAGATCTTTCTACGTGCCCAAAGTTGATCGCAGATGTGACGCCAAACCAGAAGTCTTACAACAGCGAGCTCTAATTGAAGCATAATATCAGTTCCCTACGACAAGAATCAACTTGGAGATCTTGCTTGAGGGTCTAGGTACACATACCCAGGATTTGAAGATTAAAGATCCACACTGCCAGGACTTTGGGTTAAATCATTGCTTTCAACCTTCCGCCCAGGAGGTACGCGTACCTACGCATACCTTTTGTTTAACCTCAAGTTCTCTTCTCTAAGTAGAGTTCGATCTGTATTGTGCCTCTTCCTCCTTCTGTACTTATTTATCTTTCTTGCCTTCTGTCTCTCTCTCTCTCTCTAGTCTTTCTCCTTCTCTAGCATTCCAGATATATACATAGTCACACGATATAGTCTATATTTCAAACTCAGTTTTTGAGTCTTCTTTGCATTATATGTTCACCTGCTGTCAGCAAACGGCCCCCCCAATGGAGGAGAAGAAACGACTATTAGAACTTCTTGCATCAAAATTGTGTGAAAGAACAACAATATATATATATATATATACATCCTAAATACTAACACGTTGTTGACATGAGGGTGGCATTGGGGGCTACACCCCCATTCTCTACCTCTTCCTCCTCGTCATTCATCCCTTCGCTCCTACTTGATTGGTTTGTCCTTCCTGCGTTTGTTTTTCTTATCCTTGTCTTCATGCTCTTTCTGTTCTCAAGAGTTTTTTCTCTTGGCATTTCTGTGTCTTGTCTATATATATATATAGCTCTGTCCATTCTTGGATACTGTCATTCTCGAGGTCACTGAGACACAAAAATTGGGTACAAAAGGATTCATTGGCAATTTTATTTGGTGTTTAAATCTAGATTCTAGATCTTTGATTTGTCATACCCCTCCTTGGACACTGGCTCTTCATTGCTTGTTTGGTTTGTAGTATTGTAGTACAGGCCAGTGACGCGGAAGTTGTGAAACGATAATCAGGAAATCACTGGCTCGAGATTTCTTGGTTTTAGGAGGTGCTTGATATCAAAACACACCTGACAGAGGACCGTGTCATCAAATTAACATGTGGCAAGTAGATGTTTCCCGCAGGTAGCTCCTGTGTCATCCTTTGGGTCAGCTGCTCCAATACTTGTGGTAAACAGAGTGTGGCACAACTCCAATGTCACTAGCCGGGCGTTTAGTAGGCTCCTCCTCTTTTTCAGCTCTTTCCCTTCTGATACTATTGAATTACTCTTTCCTCAACACACCCTTTTTCTTTTGCATACAAATAGCTTTAGGAATGAGAAGACTTCCAAAAATAGAACAGCTCTAAAGAAAAAAGTACAGTCTATGCAGAATGGCGCAATTGTACAAGAGAGAGAGAGAGAGAGAGATTTTGTGTATGTAAATGTGTTCCCTCTCCAATCACATGTTGTAGGGGCAAGATCCCTGCGTACGCAATGATCTAGATAAGACCAGGGTTCACTGCTCACTGTGCGACAACGAGAAGGCTATAAGTTATAAGTAACTTAGAATGTTCTATTGGTATTGTTTTGGTGTTGCGGTTCTTTGCTGTAACCAAAAAGTAAAGAGAAAAGAAAGCAATGTTTCTGAGAAGGAGTTCTTGGGGGGGTGAAAAAGCTACTTTTGTTAATTTACAGGATTTCCCAGAACACTAGTTGTTTGGTATATTGTTTTGTTGCTGCTTGCGACAGGAGGCTTCCCGTTGGTTTCTATATGGAAAAAGCTAGTGGTGTTTGTGGACACTTGTGGTTGCCAACAGGTGGTGTGCACACAAATTCTGTTGATGGAAAACAAGTGTCTCTCTTTTTGTCTTGGCACAGAGAACATTTTTAGGTAGATCATGGGCGGTGCATAGATGGTATCATGATGTTCATACAACATATATTGTTTGTCACACCTTTGTGGAGGGAGTGACAACCACACAGTGTGTTGCAAAGATTTCAGTTGCATAAAGTCTGGTTGGACGGTTCACCTCTCATCCGGCTTGTTACAAAGGAAGTCTAGACTGCCGCAACCTGGGACGTCAATCCCTTGGGAAGGTAGAAGTGAAGTGCAACGCAAAAAGGAACATAGACGTTGGACATGGGTCATACCAGTAGGTCCTCATTAGAATATTCAGATCCAGGCGTTGAGCCAAGCATACAAGCTGGAGGTTGCAGTTGTTTGGGACATGCAAGCATCACAGGCAAGATGAACCACTCATTTGACAAACTTTGTTCTGACCAATGGCAAATCTTCCAAACCATCAATGCCCAAGCCAAGGGTTTGCCAACGGGGAGACGGCTCCCAATTCGTGGCCTATCAGTTCTTCTATAGTGGCAAGGCAGGGAATGTTCTTTATGAGTCAACAACGTCTAGAAGTTAAACAGTCTGTGTTGCTTCCTTGCCGAAGTTCAGAGGTCTTCAGTGCATGCAGTGGACAGATTCTGTGGAATTGATAGATGGAGGAAGCAATTGCAAGTTTGGAATAAGCCCTTGGAAGCTCTTTCAGCTGTGCTATCGCATGTGTACCCTAGGATGGTGTTTCTCCTATCAAACCTTTTTAATATCCATGGGATCGCATAGAGAAGCACACTGTCAGGTTCCAAATGATTCTCCTTCAGGATAGTCTATTTCTATTAGTCTGGATAGCCGACAGGTGGAACGGGGGGAACAACACCTGAGGCGACATGAATTGTCCAATCTCCTCATGTTTAGACGTTTAGAGAAAAAGAAATGGAAAAGGCGAAAATATCGACATATCGAGGGGCAAAACGAAATAGAACAAGGAACACTAAGGAACATGGGACATCATTTCAGTGCCTTTGGCGCCTGCGTCGTGAGGTAGAAGGCCGCTCGCTTGTCCTTTGCGTCCTCACCTCAAAGCGGCCATACGATGGCAGAATGAAGTGGATGTCCACACACTACTAATAGCGATGGCCTCCAACCCAATAGCAAACAAAAAGGCGTATCATTTACATCATGCGTGCCTAAATTTGTTGTGCATACACAATACTGCATGTCCCCGAAGCTGGTGCCTATGCACGACACGATTGGACAACTCAAGCAGGTCAGCCAGAGCCATCATGCCCTAGGGAGTCTTGTTGCCAGACGAACCTTTTTGCTAGGCTGGTAGTGGCCCTGGCAGTATGAAGGCAGCGCATATGTTTGGTCCAAGAACAAACAAGCGCAACATCTCCGCAAGGCGGAAAAAAAGAGTAAGGGGATGATGCAACTACTTAACTTTAGTTGAGGCTTCAAGACAACTTTAGTTGTGCATCTTGCTCAGATTTACGGCTTGACGCCTCTCATTCTGCCCCAACCTATCCTCTCATTCTCCCTCTCTCGGCCGAGGTGCAGCTGGAGCTGTGTGAGGGCCATCGGCCCGACATGAAAATGCTCCCAGAGATCCAGGAGGAGTTTACAGGGTGTGAGTGGGCACCTGAAAAACCAGACAGAACACTACATATACCAGTGTGTAGAAAAAAGAAAATATATATGTTTACATATAGAGAGAGAGAGATAGATGACACTGATGTGTTTCCGACAGCTGATGGCTTTTAGGAGATTGCTGGGGGAATAGACGAGATCACAAGCATGTGGTGCCAAGGAAGCAACACCGCACCACCTCCACCACAAGCAGGTGTGACGTTTAGGGCCAGTTTAGGGTTTAGGGTTGCCCGCATCCCTCCAGATTGGCACCAGGAGGCACGTGAGCAGCTATGGAAGGCACGGATACACATCGAATGTTTTCAGAGTAAAGGAAAGGGTGATGATCGTTTTGGGAAAAAGAAATTAGGCTCGTTTGGCCTTTTCTTGTTTTTTGAACACTGCAAGATACTGCAAGCTTGCCAGCGTGCTGGTTTTGTGGATTTTTGTGGCAGTTTCGGATGAAGATAATTGAAAGAGATGGATTCAGATAGACCAGGAGAAATCCATCTCTTGGATGCTGCGTGCTGCACTGGTTGCGTGCTGCACTGGCTGCGTGCTGCACTGGTTGCGTGCTGCACTGGCTGCGTGCTGCACTGGCTGCTGCACCGGCTGCACATGAGTGTATGCTTCCGTGATGGTTTGGTTTTGATTGCTCTAACTTTTGTTTTTGGCTGATCCATGTTGATCCCATTTGATTCTCGATGGAGGCCTTGGCCCTCCTGGGCGGACGACCCCAAACGATCATCGACAAAGACGTGGGCTTCGGCTTTTTCCAGGCACTGCCGCGAGCGAAGCGAAGTTGGACGGCCATCGAAAAGATGATGATGATGATGGGGAGGAGGAGGAGAAGGAGGAGTAGGAGGAGGAGGAGGAGGGGGGGTTGCCTGATGGTTGCCTGACTTATCCGATGCAAGCCAATCGTCGACCGAGTTTGATCGAGGTTTCGAGTCCTTGAATCTGGCAATCCACACGTATTCGAACGCCGGGGTGAAAGACTCGGAACTCTGTCTCGAGAATCGAACATCGAACCGATTGGCACCTTTCGTCTTCTCAGGAGCGCCTTCAAGAGCAGTGCTTGCTATTGGATGCTCGCAGCTGTCAGCGCCGGGAGTTCAATGTCCTGCCCCGTGGTGCACAGGCGACACCGGTGCACTTCGAATTGAAAACGTGTTGAGCGGCCTTCCACCCTAGCCTCCGTCAGGTCTTCAGCGATCGCCCCCTGAAGCCGGAACCAGGAGGAAGCGGAACGGGACGGTTCCGGTGCTGGTCGGAACGCTAAAAGAGATTCTCCCAGACTTCTACCAATTCCCACCTTTTTGTGGGTAAAAAGCAGTGTTTTCAAATCCTCATGACTCGTGAGATTGTGGATGGGAAAGATGGGAAAGGCCCAGAGGTCTCCATTTTCGATGTCAGACGTTTATAGCAGCTTGCCGTACAAGAACGATGACCTGGAGGATGCAGTTGATTGTCTCCCAAAATGTTTCTGACTAGAGTTGCACGCATCCTCGCACATGGCTACTTCTACATAAGGAGCATCTGAGAGCATGTGTGTGTGTGTGTAAAACTCTATCTCTAAGAGTTGGCTACTCTCATCCGTGTACAGTTTCCGCGGGGGACACAGCATTTCACTGGGACTGTGTCCAATGAAGCTACCAGTGAAATGGGATATCCAGCTTAGCCAGCTGGATGTATCTGCGTCAATCTTTAAGCTTTGGTAAAGTGCTAGTGAGTTTGTTAAACAGTTCTGTTCTTCGGACCCTTTCGCCTTACCGTTTTTTGCAGTAAAGTGCTAATGCGGTAACTAGGTTGTGGTTCGAAGTAGAGCTTAAGCTGTCTCTTTCCGAGTTGTGCAGTACAGTGCTAATGCAGTAACTAGCTTACGGGAAACCACTTTCTGAAACTTCACTCATTCACTTAAGCTATGAATCTAAGTGCGGCTAGCTGCATCTTCCCACTTGGGTGTGCAGTGTGATCACGCAAGGGGCGCCGAATTCATCACTGGAAATGTTTGATCCTTTCCTGCGCGCCGTGAGCAATTTTCTGATTGCACGGTCACTTTCAGGATCGCCGAGCTTACAAGAATATTTCGGAAACAAGTTCACCATGCTTCCATGCAGACTTACCATGTAGTTTCTGCAGCGCTTTGAACGGCATACTGGATGTGTGTGCGTCACAACCTATTTTCAAGGGTTACTACTGAGGCATTTCCAAACCCAAGTATGGCCAAAGCTGTTCCACTCCCGTGCTACGCAGTAAAGGTCTATTGCATTAACACTTAACACCCCGGTGTTTCGCTGTAAAGGTCTAGTGCGTAAAAGAGCTAATGCTGAGCCTTTTGACAACCTAGCAAAAGTTGTTCCACTCCCGTGTTTTGCAGTAAGGAGACTGCACCCAACGAAGCTACCCACCTGTGTTGGAAGCAGAGCCTGATCAGCTTTGCGCACCTGCTTTTCCATGCAACTTAACTGTATTGTTTCACCCGGCTCAACCCATACTGTTCACCAGCCAAGGTCTACCTGTGGTGGCTGCGAAGGGCCATTGCAGAACTGATGACTACCGAACGGCGCTTTGTGCGTGTGCTATGTGTAAGCACAGCGCCAGGACTGCGTTTCGCCGTACGTGTGGATGCTGCCTCTAGAGCCCCTCGACAGAATCTCATACGACATGTGGAGCGCGAGATGGACGTTTCCACTGTTGGACAAAGTTTTTGACCGAACAATGTTGTTTCCTCCCAACAATCACGTTGAGGCCTACATAGGTCTACATTACATGTCGGGCAGTTGCGTCATCGCACGGCTACTCCAGGCGTTCACCACACTACATTGGACAAGTCACCTTTACTTCACCACACCAGAAATCACACTGAGCCAATCCAACGCCCCATCGCCGCTTAGGCTTTTGCAGGCTTGCCTTTCATGGGCTTCACGCGGCAAGTGCCCAACGATTGTCGGACACCTGAGCATGTTGAAGGGCAGTCCGTGGTTCTTGCAGGGCCTGATCCCAAAATTCACTTCACTCCATTTTGCAGATGGCATTTCGACCTCAATGTCAGTTTTTTTTTGTGTTTGTGGTTTAACCTTGTCCAGGCATACAGGATTCTGTCAACGCCAAAACTGTTGTTTTCTGGGCAAGGTTTGGGTAGGACATCGCATGAGCAACTGCACACAACTGGTAGTGTTCCTGTGGGTGACCCCAAGGAAGCGCCATAAAATGCCACAGCAACCTTTCGGTAGCTGGAGATGCTTGAGATGTTTTGTGTTCGGGACAAGCAAAAGCAAAGCAATGCGTTGGAACTGGTAGAAGCCCAATGCAGCAAGCCTTCAGACGATCCTTCAATTTTGGTCGATCCCTGATGCCTGCTGAATACGAAGGGGTACCAAAATCTGGGTCTTGTCAGAGTAGCGGAGACATAAGCGCCAAAACTCATTGCGCAGCCTACAAGGTGGTTGCAAATCATATAGATAACCGAGAGTCCTGGTAGAGACCATTTAAACAGGTCTCGTATACCCTTCAGGCAGGAGCCTAACTTCCAACTTGCCTAAGACTACAGCAAGAAGGTCAAAGGGTACCCTATACTTCAAAGCAAGCACCAAATAGAAACGCCTTCTGATGTGCCATTCCGGAACATCAGGCAGTGCAATAGCTTAAGGAAACGAACAAGACGTTATGAGCCGCCCTTGACAGCAAAAGCAAAGATCGGCAACACTCCGTAATCAACATCAGTCCACGAATGCGAACGCTCGTGGAAGAGAACCCGTGGCTTCACCTGCACCGGACGGTAGCGCGACAACAAAATTAAAAGACTTTGTACTGCAACAAGTATCAGGCATGGACCAAATTGGTGAACTGTACATAGCGCTCATGCGCTGCATGTTGGCGGGAGTCATGCTGTTGGTACTTACACCAGAAAAGGCTGTGGAGATTGTTGTGCTTTATGAAGTGGGTCGCGAGCCACGAAGACAATTGGAGAAAGTCACAGAAAACATGGAGAGATAAGACAAGCCATAAAGGCGGGATGTCTACTGACTCGCCTCGACCACATTCACCTGTGGAATGCATGTCCGTGTCCAGGTCAAAGGCGCCAGGGATACGAAGGGGTACCAAAATGCCGCTGATAATCGGGTTTCCTTCGAGGCCCTTCCTTGTATGCAGATATTGCTACCAACACAGCGCAGCCCCTTGGCATTCTTGGCACAGCTTGGTGGACATCATAATGTTTTCCTTGCAGTTTGCCCTTATTCGTACCAATCACATTTGCAATGTTTAGAACATGTTTTGAACGCCCATGTGCTATCAGCCACAGCATGGCAGACAATAGATACCTGGAGTGAGATGTTGACGACTGGTTGTGATTTACAGGAAGAAGTACCATCCTCAAATGTGCGCGCCGCACTGCTGAGGAGCCTTTTGGTGGGTGGCTGTGGAGAGGCCTCAGCCCGGGACCAGCCAACGCACTTCAAAAGTGGCACCTCGACAGAAAGTGGGTCGAAGGATGTTGACTTTCATCATGACATTGTTTGAGCACAGAACGTGTTGTTTTGTGGGAAGTCACAATCCGGTGGTGTTTTTGGAGAGAATCATAGAGAATGCATGAGGGATCCCTTGAGGATCCCTCATGCTTGAGGTACTCAGGTACTCCAAATATGAAAGATTTGGACATTTCTTTGGGGACGAGTTTACACCACAAGAATGTACACATATGTACACCACACCTGCCCGCACTCGTCCGAGGTTTCAAGGCTCCGCCGCAGAGTGAAGTCCAAACATTCAGCTGGGAGCCCCGGGCGAACGAAGATGGAAGCCTCTCGGCTCCGTAGAATTTGTTTCTGAGGTCACAGATTTGGGTTGACACTCGGATAATTGACCACAAGTCACGTTTTATATCCTATTCTTTGCATTTGGATTGCGAAAGGCTGGTCGTCGTTGGCCGTTTCCAGGTCATCAGCCAGACCTGTTGCGGCACCAGCGCACTGCGCCCCAAGAGCCCGAGATCGGGGAGCGGAGGGGAGATGAGAGAGTGGGCCTGCTAGGGCCTCGGGCTATCGGAGGTATCGTTTGGCGCCGGAGAAGACGGTGTTTCCGAAACTGCCTTAGATCCTCTCCGTTCTGCTCCGGAGGACATTTTGGAGTGCCGCTACACCTGGCAAGGACAGATTCAGATGCTCATCAATGACCAGGTGCGATCGTGAAAGCACCATGTCACCATGACACTGTTTGAGAAGGGACCTGAATCATGATCCCGAGAGGAGTTTTCACTCGAAGAATATGGCTGCAAATTCTCACCCTTTCTGCCAGATGATCCTCGAATTCAACACTGGTCGACCACTCACAGACGAGGCATAGGGACCACGCGTGGGAGTAGGTTTAATGGGGGGGAATGTGTTAGTTTCTTTTGCGGCAGTGGAGCAAGCACGAACAAGTGCGTAAGAGATAGACAGATAGATAGATCGATGGATAGATAGATAGATAGCTAAGGTAGGTAAGGCAAGGCAAGGCAGGCAGGCAGGCAGGTAGGTAGGTAGGTAGGCAGAGAGGGCATATTAAGGAGGACTTAGGAAGAGGTTGTGGACTTGCATACTACCAATAGTTAGTATCAGGACGTATTAGGATCAATATGGATATATATATATATATTGCGGTATACTTGCGGACAGTAACTTGCAGAGGCATGCTTCAAGATGTCAATAGCCCGGAGATGCCAACGTGTTTCCCTTCACGGCCATTTGCACAGGGCTGGTGTCGAGATTCTCTGAATTCCAATGATGATAGTTCAAGTTCCCAGATATATTGTTTTGATAGTTCGTTGGACTGCCCAAGCTCCGAAAGCATGCCATGTGTATAATCTCCATTGTTCTCAATCGTGGAGTGCTTCAAGCACGAAGAAACACAAGGCCCACTACGGAGTTAAAGGAAGAGCAAGAAGCTACTAGGTGGAGGCCGCTATTAGGTTGGAGGCCATCACTAACAAGAAGCTACTAGATGCTACTAGCTATTTGCTAAACACAGAGCTATTTGCATTCGTAGAACAACTCTGCGCTCTTCTTCTTTCGCAAGGCCCACTACGCAGTGCTCGACGTGGCCTTTGCCGCGCATCGGCTCACCTTGGTGTCGCCCAGACAGTCGTGGCTCGGAAGTGAAGGCGAAGGAGTTCACCGGGGATGGAGGTGTTGCGTTCAGGTCTTAGATGGTGCCTTAGATGGTCATGGTGTGGTTTGCAATTGAAACTCGGCTTATGGTTGCGGTGCTGTTTGTCGCCTGTTGTCGGAATTGGAGTGCACTCAGTGTGAAAGGATGCACTTATTTGGAGAAGCCAGCTCCAGAACGGAGCCACACTCGCCACCTAAGCCGGAGGCACTTGCACTCGCACTCGGTGGTCCATTTGTGGTCGGACGACACCAACACCGGGGCGTCACCCACCAGATGGGAAGAAGCAAGGTGTTTCGAAGTGTTTTCGAAGAAGAAGCTGACAAAACAGCTTTTCTCAACCTGTTTCCGTCAGCAACTTGTCATTTCCTATGAGCAACCACCTTTTTGTAGCTGCAGGGGTCCTCAAAGATGCCAGGTGATGTGCCACTAAAGTCTAAAGGAGATATGGTCTCCTCAAAATAGATATCGAATTTGGGATTAGTCAGTACCAAGAATTATAGAAACTATGCTGCATATGCTACTCATGTGATTGATTAATGGTTAATGTCGCTTTCAAGAAGCAAATTTATCCCCGTTGCATGCTTTGACCTTGCTTCACCGATTCTAACGTTCTCTTCTGATCTCAAGCTCCGTTCTCGCCTCATATCTTCTTTTCTAACCGAACGCCAGCCTCATCTTGCGCACCTTTGTGTGTCAGCCCATTTCAATTTCATGCGCGTGACTGGCACATTGCATTTTTTCATGTACCTCGTGTGAAACACAAATGAACTTAGCATTGAATCGCCTGTTTATGCGTAGACCACTCCCATTTTCTGAAGGTGTGCAAGATACTGACCCCATATTCAGATGAGAATGAGCCGTGTCAGACTCGCTTTCGTTCCTTGCTACCACTGATAGCTATAGCAGCTGCTCCATTGTCGTGTGTTCAAGGTTCCTGTCGGACACCTGCGTAGCCTCGGCCTCACCGGACAGCACTTGCTGTGTCTCGGCAATTTGTGGGGCTTGGGCACTGTGATCTCTGAAGGATCTTCTTGCGACATCGACTTGTTGTGTTTTGCGCTAACTCTGAGGAAGTGAGGACTCTTGAATCGAATGAGGGAAGTCGCCCCAGCGTGAAAGTTTGTCCAGTGGTAGCATTTTGGACACATGACAGCACTCCTTTGGTGCAAACTTGGTTCAGGTTCAGTCCGGTGGGCAAGGCATGTATAGGTCCAGGATCAGCCTTGTGCATGTCAACACACCGAAGGGAACAAGATGGGAAAATCCAACCTCAAGCCCCACTTGTAGTCATGACGTCATCACATGTTTCCGTTGCAACCCGAGGCAACTCAGAGCTGGACCGTGATCCGTCAGAGACCCACTGTGTCCTCATTCGGCTGCGCGGTAGGTCGAGGACATGTTTTTCTTGGATCATGAGAATCTGCTGGAAACCAAGAAAACACAATTCCGGTGTATTCCGGTTCTGTTTGTCCTTTTTCCATTTCAGTTCTCGAAGCAGTTCTGCCGAAGGGCCAGCGAGTTCTTGGTGTTTTGTTCTAGAACTCTATATAGTAGCACTCCTCGCTGGGATGCAGTGCTCAGTCCTTCCTTGGTGTCCCTTGCACACATCGACAAAAGATTACATCTTTCGATCGACGTATTTTGCTGTTGGACCCTGCAGGCGTCAGGTCTCATGTGTGTTTTCCCGAATGCGTAGCGAAGGGTTCTCGTTTAACTCTGGGGGTCTGGGGGTAGAGCCTTGTTCGCGACCCGTTGTTTCTATGTTCGCAACCGTCCGCAACCGTTCGCAGTAGAGCGCTAAGGCGCTGCCATTGGGGGAAGCTTTTGCAAATGACTTTTCATGGATGTGTCACGTGTCAGTTTGCGCCGCTATTCCATCGTGATTTGCATGACACCGACATGTCGCGCAAGAAACGTGATGCATTTCGCTGCACAGGCGCAGCGTTTTGTGAGATCCGCAGATTGCTGCGCAGTTCCATTGGGATTAGCGTTTGGAGAGTCGTGTTTTTGGGGTGTTGGATGTGGCAGTGCCATTGGGATTTGCGTTTCAGGGTGTGGCATCGAAGCTCGGTTTTCGTGACAAGTCTCAGCTGAAATGGCGATTTTGGTGGATGGGAGTGTGCTCAGAACGGGTCGAAATCATTCCAAACGTGTGGTGTGGTGCAAATTTTGTTCAAGCTCACATGAGATGATATTGTCACTTTTCGTGGCAGGCGCAGGACTTTGTGCGGGTTTTGAGGCGTGGAAGTGCGATTCTCGTGGCAGGCGCAGGGAATCGTGAGGTTGCGAGGTGTGACGGAGGTGACATTTCGTGGCAGGCGCAGTACTTTGTGCGCCTTAGCCTTTAGACGTGGGAATCGTGAGGTGGTGAGTTGTGGTAGAGGTGAATGTCGCTGTCACATTGGGATTGGCGTGTGAGCGGATTTTGTTTGGAGGGGCTGGAATCGCGAAACTGCTTGGCAGGGCTGCATGATGTGTGTGCTCCGCGATGGGTGTTTCCGCTTGACTTTTGGAGGAAGTCTCGTACGAAATGCTCATTTTGGCAGACTTTGACATGTGAGTTTTGGAGGAAGTCTCGTACGAAACGCTCGTTTTGGAGACTTGACACGTGACTACGAAGCGCTCGTTTTGGAGACTTGACGCGTGACTTGTGGAGGAAGTCTCGTACGAAACGCTCGTCTTGCAGCCTCGAAGCGTGACTTTTGGAGGACGTCTCGTACGACACGCTCGCAGGACTGCTTCTAGTGTGCCACAAGAGTGTCCCACAAGAGTGTCCTACAAGAGCGTCCTACAAGAGAGTGTCCCACAAGAGTGGTCCGACAAGAGTGTCCCAGAAGAGTGTCCCACAAGAGTGTCCTATAAGAGTGTCCCACAAGAGTGTCCTACAAGAGTGTCCCATAAGAGTTTCCTACAAGAGTGTCCCACAAGAGTGTCCCACAAGAGTGTCCCACAAGAGTGTCCGACGAGAGTGTCCCACAAGAGTGTCCCACAAGAGTGTCCTACAAGAGTGTCCTATAAGAGTGTCCCACAAGAGTGTCCTACAAGAGTGTCCCACAAGAGTTTCCTACAAGAGTGTCACACAAGAGTGTCCTACAAGAGTGTCCCACAAGAGTTTCCTACAAGAGTGTCACACCAGAGTGTCCCACAAGAGTGTTCCACAAGAGTGTCCCACAAGAGTGTCCTACAAGAATGACCTACAAGAGTATCCCACAAGAGTGTCCCACAAGAATGTCCGACAAGAGTGTCCCATAAGAGTGACCTACAAGAGTGTCCTATAAGAGTGTTCCACAAGAATGTCCGACAAGAGTGTCCTATAAGAGTGACCCACAAGAGTGTCCTATGAGAGTGTCCCACAAGGAGTGTCCTACAAGAGTGTCGTGTAAGAGTGACCCACAAGAGTGTCCCAGAAGAGTGTCCTACAAGAGTGTCTACAAGAGTGTCCCACAAGAGTGTCCCACAAGAGTGGTCCTACAAGAGTGTCCCACAAGAGTGTCCCACAAGAGTGTCCTATAAGAGTGTCCCACAAGAGTGTCCCACAAGAGTCTCGCACAAGAGTTTCCTACAAGAGTGTCCCACAAGAGTGTCCCACAAGAGTGTCCCACAAGAGTGTCCTACAAGAGTGTCCCACAAGAGTGTCCCACAAGAGTGTCCCACAAGAGTGCCCGACAAGAGTGTCCTACAAGAGTGTCCTACAAGAGTGTCCCACAAGAGTGTCCCACAAGATTGTCCCACAAGAGTGTCCGATAAGAGTGTCCCACAAGAGTGTCCTACAAGAGTGTCCTACAAGAGTTTCCTACAAAAGTGTCACACAAGAGAGTCCTACCAGAGTGTCTCACAAGAGTTTCCTACAAGAGTGTCACACCAGAGTGTCCCGCAAGAGTGTCCCACACGAGTGTCCCACAAGAGTGCCCTACAAGAATGTCCTACAAGAGTGTCCCACAAGAGTGTCCCACAAGAGTGCCCCACAAGAGTGTCCTGCAAGAGTGTCTCACAAGAGTGTCCCACAAGAATGTCCGACAAGAGTGTCCCATAAGAGTGATCCACAAGAGTGTCCCACAAGAGTGACCCACAAGAGTGTCCTATGAGAGT